ACAGAAGTTTTCTGTAACCTGTGATCACACAGTCAAACACTGACATTGTATTGCTGGAGAGTGTGTATGAAGCATGGTAGAAGAGTTGTCTTGCATCCCTTTGTAAGACTGCTGACAATGTCTAGCGTGAGGGCTTGGACCTCTCCAAGTTTCCCTAGAAGAGAATTTCACTTAGTGGCATGAAAGAGCTCATAGGGCATCATGTTCTTAGATGTTTGATTCCTTTTTTCATTTTGTGACATTACATTCAATAGGATCATAGAATTGTTTTAATTTTTGTGCATTTTCTATCAGGATGAAGACTCTAAAAACCTACTGGGACTACAAGGAAGCTGCATTAAATTATCAAGAAGCCTGGAAGGTGCTGCGTAGCCAAGCCCTGCTGGGTTGGGTTAAGAATGCCAAGGAATTCCAGCACTTCACGGGAGAATCCATGTGCCTATTCAAATCCAGCAAATAGCTCTGGTGCACAGGAGATACCTCTGCAGTTCAAGGGCCAGGAAATTATGTCCTCTAGTTTGTGTGCTGTAAAGAGGCGAGAGTGAAAAGGAAAGCAATTTAGAGAAGTCTTTATTTTGGCTGAGTTGATTGCAATATAGGAAAGGATCACTGCTGACTTAAAGTTCTGAGCTGCATGAAACAATGTGCTTCCAAAGGAAAGGAAGCAGTGATGTGCCATCCTCTGCTACCTGAGGATATGATCTATCAGCCACAGTCATTGCAGTGAAAGTAATGGCAACTGAAATTGAAGCAGTGCTGTGGAAGAAAGTCCATCGCTGTAAAACTTTGGTGCTGCTTTCTTGTTCCACTCTTCATAATGTTATGTCTGTTTTTTCTGTTGCTGGGACAACCGTAATGTATAGTAAGTAATATTTTTATAACTCTTGGCTCTCCTTGTCTGGTGCCTGGAAGAATTTTCCATGTCCCCCAGCCCCATTGGTTCTAACTGGAAATACTTGTTCTGTTTAAGGGTCATTTTTTCTGGGAATCCTTCATATATACTGGGATTTACTAACTATAGCTGTGGCTGTAGCCACAGCAGAAGCAGAAGAGCACTGGGGAGGAATCTGTCAAATAGTACCACTTACTATATCCTGTGCATCTCTCTCAATTTCAGACCCTGACAGATAACCCTTCAGCTGCTTTGCTTCTGTAGGCAGGAAAATCTCCTGAATTACCTGGCTCGAACCTGTCAATCCAGTGTAATTACAAGCGAACATTGACCTACTTTTCTGTGTTTCAAGCACTCTCTGTGCTGCTCTCCTGCCCTGGGACATAGTTAATTAAAACCAGAAGTGCTTTAGTCGTTCATTTATGTCACTCTTCCCTGGCGTGTGTTCATTAATAGCCTGGCAAAGGTGGAGATGCTTTGGGGGGCACTGAAAGTTGTCTCTGGCATGTCTCTTGTCCTTGTGCTTTATTACAAGTAACATCTGCCTGGCAAAACAGTCAACACTGAGCAGTTGGGGGGAAAGCTGTGAGTAATCCTCAAACTTTCTGTCCCCGTTACTGCCATCTGTGAGCCAGTTCAGGACTGTGTAACTGCTACTGAGCACACTCCCCTAGTATATTTTTCTTTTGTAAACCACAATTCATAAAGTATTTGGATAAGGCAATGGCAGGAGGAAATAAGTGGATAATTTACAGTTTCAGAATTCTTCAGTGATTTGAATTTTCTGTTCTTTGGTATCTTTGGATATAAAAAATGGGCACAGCCTTTGCAGTGAACCTACTGAGCTACATGTGGGGCCAAACAATACATATCACATTACAGTCCAAGAATTGATTACAGCAAATCCCTTTACTTCACACTTAGGTTGACTTGCCAGATAAGAATAATTCTGTCTTACTTGTAGAAGAAACAACAGATAACTCGAATTATGCATGTGTAAGCCTGTTCTCTCAAACCCAGCACTAGCATGTGGACAGACCAGTTGTATTGGTGAGGGGAGAGTTATGGTGTGTTTGTAGAGGGCAGGGGACTGTGTGTGGAGAACAGTGACTTGCGTAAGGCATCAGAGGAGAAAAAATGGCCAGATGCCATTGCAGATGGCTCCGGGGTGAACTGCTAAAGACAAATGGTAGCAGTTATTGTAACTGAGCAAAAAGCATTCCAAGGGCAGGGTCCTGAAGTGTACCTAAAGAGGTGTCAGTAAATTTCCAAGTTCCTGAAATTTACCTTTGTCCTTCCCTGAAATCTTGCAGGAACTATTAACTTACCATATTGAGTTTCCCTTTGTTAATCAACAATATCTGTAGTGAACCTGCTGACCAGACTGGAATGTTCCCATTTCCTATCCAGCTGCAGTATTAAAATGGGTTACATAAGACTGGTTCTGTAGTCTTGGTATCAGACTGGTTTTCAGATAAGCAGTTATATGATTTAAATTAACTCTGACAACTGAGCCAGCCTGTTAGGATTGTTCTGGTAAAATATTTCTGTGCATTTGCAAAATACTTGTGAACTGCAGACTGCTGCTCTTCTGCTACTTGTCAGGTTTAAAAGGAGTTTTAGAGGTGCTCAACACTGACATTAACCTCACATTCTGGGTGGAGTTGAGGACATTTAGGCCTAGAGTGAGTCAATGAATATGCCAAGGTAGAGAAGGAGCTAAAACAAAGCAGCACTTAAAAGGCCTAGGGGCTAAGCCTGTAGGATCTTATACTCAGCTGAATGGCATTTCTGTGTCAGAAAATAAGTATTTCAGTGCTGCATCTCTTTAATTTCAAAATGTCAGGAGATGCTGTCAGCAGTACCATGAAACTCCTTTTAGAGTCAGAAGGGGAAGAATGCAGAGAAAAGAAAGAACACAATCTCTGCTTTTGCAAGATGTAGCAAACTAAACTTTGATTATTGTCAGCAGATCTTTGGAAGAATTGCTCCTGGAAAGTAGTTGTTGACATGTTCCAAGCTTGCATCATTCCTCTGGCGCCGGGATAGCTGAAACAGAAAGATATGTAAGGCAGAGGAAGGATGGTAGAATGCAGAGACTCTACCACAGAGGCGCAGAAGTACGGGGGAGTGATGTAGCAGGAGTGAAGTGCCCACAGTTAATGAGGACAACCAAACGATTGGTAGTGGGAGCAGCAGAGCATAGGAGAGCACCAAGATGCTCTGCAGAGCATATTTGTATTACCCAGATAGGTCCCTGACTTGTCCTAAGTAGTATGGGGACTGATGGTCCCTAACTGCCAGAACAAAGAAACTGTAAGCATTGAGTGGGATGTCTTTAACAGCCTCACTGTTGGAGACATCATTCTGTTTTCAGTCACAGTAGGAAGGCAGGCCAGACTGCCTGCTCGTCTTGCAGGAAGTCAAAACCAGAGCACAGGAACAAGTGGTTTTGCCCAAGGATAGAAGTAACCAATGTGTTTGACGCTGAGCATCCCACTACCTTTGACAAAGCAAGGTTTTTGTCATCACAGTGTGCTTCCACTGCTCAGGCCAAAGGCTTACTGATCCCAGTACATTCACAGTAAACAGAGGACTACTTAAATTACTGTGTTTGTTGAAAAACAAACCATGAGCCCAACACAAGGTGTAGCTTTCACTAGAAGTTAAATAGCTTTGCAATAAATCCAGTAAGCACTAGAGGAAAGGAAGAGCTAGGGCTGTGCTGCTGAGGGCAGAAGGAAAATTCTGTTGGTAGGGAGGAAAGAAAAGTGTTGGAGTTCTTTCTCTCAAAGTATCTGATAATGTCCTAATAGGACTGCAGCAATGGTTTACAGGTAGAAGCAAGATGATTGTTGAGTAAAGACCATCTAAATGGTCTAAATTTGGTCTGACTACTAAATACTTACTGCATACTAAATTAATCCAGCACTGGTTTAGTTGTATCAGAGATGACATTTCAATGTAGCTTAATACAGGTGATAAAACATGTTCCTGTAGGAATAGTGAGGTATTCATTTTCTGTTCAGTGTGTAAATTGAAATGCCTTCACAGTCCTGAAGAGTTAACAGAAAGTGAAAATCATATAGGACCCAAATGCTTTTCATAATTTTACAAGAGTGACTGCACTATCTGAAGGGATGCATTTCATCTGTGCCTTTCAGAGGAAACCTCCTAATGTTTTGTTGCCATTTGAAGTGCATCTGCAGATGAAAAGTAAAGCTACTGCTGTAGAACATTTCTTCTTGCGTTCTCTGGAATTACTTGTGAATCTGGGCTCCTGAATCTAAACTGATAAACACAGATGTTAGAGAGCAGTTATGTTTTTCTTTAGAGGCTTATGAAGGGTAATCCGAAAGTCACCTCGATCAGAGTATCTATCTCCCCTTGTTTTTAGACCTATCTATCTGCTAGCATGTAATTACCTTTACCTAGAAGCTGTAGGTTATGTTTCTTACTCTCTTGTAAACAGCTAACAAAACAATTTTACTTGATAACCACAGAAAAACCAATAAGTTTCAGCTTAAAGGAAACAGAACGTTTTCTAGGAATAAAACATAATTTAAAAAGATCACAGATAAAACCACTTTTCTTCATTCTGAATCAAAAAATCTTCTAAGAGTAAACATTAGTGCATGGAAAGGGGTTGGAAGGAGTTCAGGACAGAAGCAGTGATGGAATGTTTACTAATGCAGTGCTACTGTGAACAATGAAAAGCTTACTGAGACCAACAGTGCATTTTCAGATGCAGCACTGCTGCTGTGACAAGCCTCAGCAGTGGAGTGGTGTCAGCATTTCACAAGCTCCTACCTTCATATGCTGGAGTTCTCCTGCCACGACTTGTGACTGATTGCAGAGCCAAACAAATGTGTCTTCATGGGAGTTTGAGTTGATGTGAATTTAAGTTTGGAAAGTGATAAATTTCCAGTGTAACTGGAAACATTTTAAATTCTGCATGACGTAGCATGAAAATGAAGTAAAACTTTTATTAGGAATCTAAGCTGTTCTGAGTGTTTCCTTGCTGGCTTAGGAAGGTCAAAGTGATGCTACTTTTCCAACCTGATGTCATCTTTTATTATCAAAGGGTGAACTCCAGTACTGTGCAGTTGGGTGGTTTGTCCACCCTCCTCTCCTGCACCTTCCACAGGTTTTTTTTAAAGGCCTTTTTGCCTTTAAGCAGAAGTAGCTGTGTAACTATGAGAGAAGTTGAGAGCATCATGAATAATTTTTTTGGTTTCTGACACAGCCTCTTTCCTTTTGCTGTGCTGTGTATATGCTTTGGCAACAGTGCTCATAAACTAGAGGGACTGACCTGGAGTTCTTTATCATGCATGCAGCATTTCTAATTCAAGTTGTCTGCCTCAACTAAATAGAATGGTTTGGGTTGTTACGGACAGCTAGTCCAACCCTCCTGCAATGAGCAGGGACACCTTCCATTAGATCAGGGTGCTCAGAGCCTCCTTCAATCTGACTCTGCATGTTTCCAGGGATGGGGCATTTAGAACCTCACTGGGCAAACTCTTCCAGTGCTTTACCACCCTCATTATTAAACAAAGAAAGAATTAAATTCTTCATTAAATCATATCAGAATTTATCCTTAGTTTGAAACCACTGAAACGCCTGCCCCAGCTTCCTTGTGGGCCCCTTTTAAGTACTGAAAAGCTGCAATAAGGTCTCTCTGGAGCTTTCTCCAGGCACTCTCTCAACCTGTCTTCATAAGAGAGGTGTTCCAGGCCCTCTGATCATTTTTGTGGCCTCCTCTCCACTCCAAGAGATCTGAGTCTTGCACTGAGGACTTCAGAGCTGTACTCTAGTCTCACCAGAGGAGAGGAACAGAATCCCCTCCCTCGACCTGCTGGACATGCTTCTTTCAATGCAGCCCAGGATACAACTGGTTTTCTGACCTGGGAGTGCACATTGCTGGCTCATCTGGTAGTTTTTCATCTACCAGTACCCTGAAGTCCTTCTCCTCAGGGCTGCTCTCATTCCTTGCATCCCCCAGCCTGTACTGATACTGCCCCAGTATCAGCTGCCCTGACCCAGCTGTAGCACCTTGCACTTGGCCTCATGAGCTTCACATGGGCCTGCTTCTTGAGCCTGTCCAGGTCCTTCTGAATGGCATCCCATCCCTCAGGTGTGTCAGCTGAACCACTTGGCTGTACAGTATTGCTGTTCTCTCACATACTTGGTTCTATAAAGTCCTCTTACTTGGAAAGGTCATATATATTTATATACCTTCCTTGTAACACATTACTGTTTGGGGTAAGGGGGTGGGGTTTTGTTGGGGATTTTTTTTTTGTTGTTTTAAGAGCTGCTCATACAACTATTTTAATCTGAACTCCTTAACAATTATTTCTTGCTCTGCAGTAACTCATAAAAATTATACTTTCCAATTCTCCATCTCTCCGGTCTCCTATTTGCATAATTCCTTCTCCTAGGTGCCCTTCCCTTACATGCTATGCTTTTGACACCTAGGCCCTGTTCTCCAAAGCCCATGGTATTTACTCATCCCTAACCTGTTGCCTGGGATAGCTCCTTCCCTGGTGAGATCTGGTAGCTCTGAAGCTATTGGTTTTGGAACCTACAAATAGCTCCTTGTTTCTTCCTTGTATTGTCAACCACACACTGAGAAGCTGTACAATATAAGTAATCTAAGCAGCTGTATAGCATCTAATAAGTGATGTGCAACCTTCTGGCCAAAATTAGGGTAAAGAAATGACAGCACTGCCTGTTTGTGACAGGAATTTTTATTGTAATTGTTTGTTAATTGAGAAAGAGGAACATACTAGCTCAATTTGACATGATCAGCATTTTGCTCCTGCTTAGCTAGCAAATCCTATGTTCCCAATGCTAATTTATGGTTTTAATTCTTCTTAAACTAACACCTCAAAACAGAATAAATGTGTGTTTTTCATGTTTTAGTAGCCCAACTACTTTGTTTTATTATTTAATCAATGCCATCAACTGTATTCCCCAAAGAAGTGAGGCTCTGGGAATTCATAGCCATGAGGAAAAAAAATGCACAAAACCAACAAAACTTTTTTTTTTATAATTTAACAGTCTAATAAAACAAGACCTATCAATATATTAAGAAATAAATCCAGTTACAAATGCATGTATATAGAAGGAACTTCTGTGGATGTCAGAACAGAAAATGATCAGCTATTTACAAGATACACAGCAGGATAGTGCAGTAGCCAAGACCCACCATTCAGAAACCAAACGTGTTCTCTCCACTGTAGGCAACATACAAGAATCCATCCTCATCCTTTTCCTTCTCATAAAGTTGTCCCATGGTTAAGCTTGAAGGGGAAGAAAAGAGAAATGGTTTGGCTCATGAGAGCTGCACATGGTGACAGTCAGAACCTCACATAAACAAGTATTAATAAAAGCTGAAACTTTTAAGTTTGTGTGTAAATCAAAAACAAAAATGAGGATATATGAAAAGCAGTTGACTTCTGAGTTAGCAAAATTGTCCTGGGCTCTCTACAGAGTAGGTTTTTGATATTTGTTAGAATGCTTCCTCACTTTATTGGCAATTAGTCACTGAACATATTTCAGGTTCTGGATCATGTGTTATTGATGCTGGGACTAGTACCAGGATCCATGGCCTGGCAGCTCACGGAACACAGCTGCATCACTGTCTTGCTTCTTGTGTGAGCAGCCTCATTTCTCTTTCCACCTGGTGTGGTTGTGAATGTGCAGCTGGTCCCTTTTTGGACTGTTTCTTTGAGATCCAGGTTGTTTTGGGGAGCAAAAGCTTTGTTTTCTGTATTTTCTTAAGCGATGACTTAAAAAAGTACCAAAATGTGTGGGCAATTTATCCAGAAATTAGTGCTTTCCAGTGGATAAGATTTTGAATGCTTGATCAAGTGAAAAATTTCTTGGAGTGACCAGGCACGTGGCCCTTTACCACCTAAGTAGTTGTGGTCACTAAGGCAATGTCTGTATTTTGAAAACAAAAAGAAACCCCAGCAATTACTTGGCCAGTACAACTGCTCCAGCCATCTAACCACAGATGGAACAAGCAGTTGACAGCAGTCAGGTGCACAAATGATGCCTCCTTAGTTCACCTTTCTGACTTCCCAAGACTGAGAAAAGCCTATAAAAGCTGGAGACTGAATCTGAGTGACAGGGAAAGCAGTCATGTCATTCTACCCAAGAGAGGAGCTGGGAAGACTTCTAAGCCACATTTGAAATGGAAGCAAATTGGTGAGTAGCAGATAGATCACTAACCCTTGACATCCTTCAGCCCTTATTCAGAAGTTTATATACTAAATTCAGCCTAGGAGGTGAGCAGAGCCATTAACAGATTATATTTTTATCTGTAAGAAGTTACCATTTTTGCATTCATATTAAGATGCACGGCCCTGTCTTTCCAGTGTCTCAGATATGACATCATGAACATGTGAGATGAGACAATGTGTCTTTCTTTCCTGTTCCCAGCAATTCTAAAGGACTATTACAAGGTGACTTGTAGGCATTCCTAGTACTCTAAAAGAACAAGCAGAAAAAGGTGGTTCTCGTGGGTCCCTATTGTAAAAAGTAAACACACAAAGTAAACAGAAATACTGCTGATTGAGTCTGGCCAAGTTACCCGGAGGGACTGACACTGTTACAACAAGTAACAATACTAACATTACATCTAAGCCATGAAACATGAGGTACTATTTCCTCAAATGTTATGGAAGTGTCTCCTGTAGAAAGCAGGTGTAGGAGCTGCTTCTGCTATGTTACTCCATATGTAGCAGACAACAGTGAAACTTACTGCCACATAAAGGCAATGTGAAAAACCTTTCTATAACAATTGTGCATTTTTTGTTTACAGAAGAAAATAAGTCATTGTAAAAAAAATAGCAACTAGTCTGTAACGTCCGAATTTCTTTGTAAGATGATTTTTTCAGAATAACTTGTGGTATCTGCTTTTGAGTATTTAACATGCACCTTTTGTTACACTGAGAATTATCAAATTTTAGCATTGATGATGTACATGTTCTTGCACTCAACCAAGGACATTATAATAACTGCACAGCTCACCCTTTTGCCATGGAAGCAAATAATAATTTTCAGTCACCTTTCCTTTCAGCCTTGCTCAAGAAATAAGATGTTTATCAAAATCATAAAGAAAAAGCCTCTCACAGTGAGATTAACAGGTAACCAAACGAGCCTCAGAGTGGTGTTCCTGGCCCTCTGATATGCACAGGGCTGCTGAAATGGTTCTGAATACCAAGTGAATAGCCTCTCACCTGGATTGTGGCACAGTCTTGTCTACAAAGAGGAATATTGCTTTCTCAGATGGCAGTTGAATCCTCTTCCTGATGATCCACATGAACTGGGCCACAGTGATGTCAGATGGAACTAAGTACTTTCTCTTGTCAATATCAACAATCTGAGATCCTGAGACCTTCTCCACTATGACCTGTAAAGTGCAGGTGTGATGGTCAGGCTTTTCCTGGTATGGAACAGCTTCAGTAAATTGCTTGCTGGTACAGGCTTACAGCAGTGAGCAGGGTGGGGGACAAAAGGCTTTCCTGACCACAACCAAATGAGATGTAGAAGGCTCAGCACTGTAAAATCTGATTTTACAACTTCACCAAAACCTACATTCATATACACAATGGCTCAAAACCTCCTATGCCTGAGGTTAACAGTCAGGGGGTAGAAAGGTGCAATATACCTAAAAGAAACCCGTGACAGGAAAGCATGCACATCATTTAACTTCTTGTACACTGATGGTATGGAATTACTGCAGCATGGGCCCAGAGCTGAAAATGAGCCAGCAGTGTGCCCTGGCAAAGTACTGGGAGGTGATCCTTCCCCTGTACTGGCACTGGTGAGGCCACCTTTGTATTATGCTGAACTGACAGTAGAATCTCTCTCCTCATACCTTAGGCAGTCAAATATTGACTACAGGAAGGAAAGATAGCATGATAGCCACAAACAAAACCAAACAAAAAGCAACCCACACAGGGGAAAGGAGAACTAAGTAGTGTGGAAAAGACATGACGTTTATTGCTCTACACAGGCTAGTTCTTGAAGGGAAAACACAGCAGGTGGGGAAATAAGGCCTGCAAGAGGATCCAGTGTCTCCATGCCTTAACTCTATATTCCGCATTGCTATAACACATAGCTCATGCTCAAGTAAATTTGAAGTCACTTTGTCCTGTGTCACTGGATACAGGCTATAACCTGGGAAGCAGGAAACATACATGAAGTTTGAAAAACACTTGACTATTAAACTTGATACCAACTATTTTGTGGAAAGTACATGGCTTAGTCTGAATCATCAAGCAGAAAACATGTATCGATCCAGAAAAAGCATTACACTGTACAGTCCTGGTACAGCATCATGTAACTCTGACTCACACTACGAGTGCCTATGTCTCTTTTTTTCTCTGTGGTTCTGAAGGATATTCTTGAAACGGACAAGGACAAAAGGCTACCTGTGGATATGTATGGTCACTAAGGATGCTGCAGTCTGTCTATGAAGGGATTGCTAGCCAAGAGAGAACGGCAAGGACCAGATCAGCTTGTAGGACTATAGCTGGAGAAGCTGTTGTGACTAGGCACAACTTGGCAACAGAGAAAGTCAGTGGGATTAGAGATTCTTCTCTGGGCTCTGCTGATGGAGAAGTTACTTACCAAAAGGTGAGGCAGGAGTGGCACTGACTGGCACATTGTCAGATGGGATGTGGGAAATTTTACACACAAGCAAGTTGAGAATGTGGACATGTTGCTAGTGGCTGCATAAGGATGTGGAGTGTGGTAATTTCTCATATTGAAACACCATAAAAGGGGTTGTGGAATGAAGTGAGATCATTCCCTATTTAGCAGAGTGATAGGTATTAATGCACTGGCTCTTCAAATGACAGTTTGCATAGGCAAATTCACCACAGTGACAGGTTACAGGCATGAAACACAAGGGACTATCATCCTTGTCATACAGCCAGGATCGAAGATTGTCAGGGTCTAAAGAATTCATGATCTTTCTTAGGATCAGGCACAGAATGAGTCCTCAAAATAATGAAGGTGTTTGCTGTGATATAATTGCCATTAGATGAAACCAGGACCCAGATAAACCATAAAAATGCCTAGAAAGTGTTTAGAAGTCAGTAACTCTTGCTTATCTGTTGATATGTGCTGGGGCAAAGGAGGGAATGTTAGATTAGATGTGTTTGGGGCTTCTTCAGACCATCTAAGGACACAACAAGGAACATGAATTTACTCAGCAGGAGCTAAACAAAGAGTGGGCAGGATGCAACAGTTTATCCACCTTCGCCTCCAAGTACTCGTACTCAGCCGCAGCTGGCTTGGCTACTCACCGGGACACGGTCGGGGTATTTGGCTCGGATTTTTGCTGACTCGACACATCTGTGCTCTGTGAACAAAACCCATAATTAGCCACTGCATAGTAATAGTGTTGCCGGTGCCCTAGGCCAAGAGGGCAGAGCCAGCAGCGCCGGGAACCTGCGGGGATCGCGACTCTCCCTCCCCACCCACAGCGACGGCGTCTCCAGCTGTTCGGGGAGGC